CCCCGGCTCCCACCGGCCGAAGAAATGAAAGTAAAAAGTTGAAATTCGTATAGAACCTTAGACGGAAAAAGTGATTAACTCACGAGGGAAATTTTTTTTTTTGCGACGGTCATTTCATGGTTCTGCATCTGCCTGTCAAGTAGATCTCAAAAGTTGGAAAAACCATGTTTACTAATAAATTAATGGTGATAGATAGTTATTATAATTCATTACTGAAATTAGATGAATAATAATTATGTGGTAGATCATGTTCTCAAGGAGGTCTCAGTTCGACCACGACCACAGTCTTCCCCCGAATTCAACGGGTGCACGGTCATTATCGGCTGCAACGAGACTGACAGTTGGCCCACGTACAGGTATATGCCAGAAAGGGCTTGTTGTTTTAAACCAGCTAATATAGCATGATGAGCCCAAGTTACAACAGCTCCAGATGAAAGTAAAATAAGAGTATTTAGAAAGGGGATTCCCCAAGGATCTATCACATCAATACCTTTTGGAGTCCAAATCGCTCCAATTTCTACGGCAGGCGCCAGACTTGAATGAAAGAAAGGCCAAAAAAAGCCCCCCCAGAAAAACATTACTTCTGACACAATGAACAAAATAATACCATAACGACGTCCCGAGTGAACCACTGATGTATGGTATCCTTCGTAGGGTAGGTGGATTCACGTATTACATCACGCCACCATACGGACATGGTATACATCATCGCACGGCGTTCTATTCGGGGGAAGACAGGAATGCGTTGTGATTGTTTTCTTTTAATTCCCCCCCCCCCGCCCTCTCCCCATAATTTGATGTATGTCCAAAAAATAATGTTGAGGAGGGGTCCTCACAGTTTACCCGGGCCTCGTCCCTCTATCACCCTTGAGTTTCCTCAACGCCCGAATCTGGACGTGTTTGTGGAAATTTGCGGTTGAGGAAATGCAACGCAATTACTGCACATCTCCTCAAGTACGTCCAGATTCGGGCGTTGAGGAAACTCAACGCTGCTAGTGGGACGAGGCCCCCGGGAATTGAAATTCATGGGAACATTACCCAGCTTCACCTAATTTTATTTTATTTTATTTTTTGGGACTCAACAGAAATTCCTCTAATCGTCCTGTGGTTATACTTAAAACCATTTTCGGTCCTCTCAGCCTGATTGGCTGTCAGATTCAGATGTGAACCTGGACGCGATGAGATGTCTATACTGTGAGGGGTCCTTTCAAGACCACTGCTCGTCTTCTCTCGAACTGCATCGGACCGGAAAAATAATATGTATACATTCATGATCGGGGTGCGTAGAGTTCTCCTTATCCGGAAAGTTAGCCTTTCCAAACGTTGTCCGCTTTTGATAAGAATTAATTGGCCAAAGCCGAGCGTTACAGTGCTTTTTTTTGGGGGGGGGGAAGTAATTCAGAACGGAAAACAGGAACAAACAAGAAAAAAAAAAAGGCTTCGGAGCCGGATCGTCTTTGTTTTTTTGTTCCTTCTTTTTTTGTCGCATTTCCGACGCGGGGGTGAGTTCCAGTATCCGAGATTCGGAGCTACCTAAGTGTATAAGTCAGGAAACAGAGGTTTTTTTTTTTTTTGAAAGAGATTTTCTCGGGAATGACGCAAGCTCTCCGACCGGCGGGAAATTTAATTATGTATATATCATCATAGAGAGCGGGATTCTTTTTTTGGGGGGGGCTATAAATGGGACGTTTTTGAGATATCATGGACTGACCCGCTTACAATATATAAACTATACATTATATAATTATGAATGATATAATATGTTGCGAGGCTCAAGGCCTCGATCTGCCCTACTGGGCCCTATTTTCTGTACAGTCCACCGCCCTAAGTGAAGGCAGGCCTATTTTTGGGGTCATCACGCAACTGGGTAAATTCAGGCAGCTGTGCATGGCCAGTTGGTTGAGAGTGCCCAGGCCCAGGCTGCCTCTTTTGAATGTAACTGAGGCAGGCCCTGGGCCAGATTCGCAACATGGACCGAACACAGGCCGTGGGCAGTTGGACACGGGCAACCACCACAGGCCCAGGGCCTGTTTCGTTTGGACTAGGGCTCAGCCTCTCTGGGCCTACCGGAAGCTTCTGGGCAGGGGCCCAACGCAGGCAGGCTGCACACAAGCAGGCAGGCCAGTTCCATTTAGGAAAGTGCCTGCCCAAGACTGGGGCTCAGCGTCTCTGGGCCTACTGGAAGCTTCTGGGCAGGGGCCCAGCGCAGCCAGGCTGCATGCAAGCAGGCAGGCCACTTCCATTTAGGAAAGTGCCTGCCCACGCATTCGGCATT